ATAAAATTGTAGATTTTAGAGTTTTAAAATGTAGACATAGAGTTAAATTACACAAAGATTCCCATGCCAATTTCAATAGTCCTCGGCCACTGACGTCAAATACAAATGCAGCCGCACGAGATTAACATGCATATTTGGCCTCTTAGCGTCAGACACAGAGACAGAGACAGATGCGCACGAGATTTGCATGCATATTAGACCTCTCTAGCTCCTGACCTATCGACCTGCCTAATTTACATGTACATTCCGGTAGAATTATCACAAAATACACTCCGCTAACTTTCAAAGGGTTATCACAGAGAGAAAAATTAGAAATGGAAATATATTGAAATCAGACCAAAACTGTAGGAGGAGTAGCATTTTGAAAGTATTTCACAGACATTTCTATTTTTAGTAACTACGGCAACACCGTTCATGATCATCGAAATCAAAAACTGATACATGGAATTATGTATCTTAGTGTATTTTTCTACTTGTATTCCAAGTTATATTGAGATCAGACCAAAACTGTTGGAGTAGCATTTTGAATGTTTTTCACAGAAAATCTACTTTTAGTAACCACGGCAACACCATTTATCGAAATCAAACACTCGATACACAGAATTATGTATCTTAGCGTAGTCTACTTGTGTTCCAAGTTAAAATGAAATCAGACCAAAACTGAAGAAGGAGTAGCATTTTGAAAGTATATCACAGAAAATTCTATTTTTAGTAACCACGGCAACACCGTTTATTGAAATCAAAAACCGATACACAGAATTATGTGTCTTAGTGTAATCTACTTGTGTGCAAAGTTATATTGAAATCAGACCAAAACTGTAGGAGGAGTAGCCTTTTGAATGTTTTTCACAGAAAATTCTATCTTGGTAACCACGGGAACACCGTTTATCGAAATCAAAAACCGATACACAGAATTCTGTATCTTAATGTACATGTAGTTTACTCGTGTGCCAAGTTATATTGAAACCAGACCAAAACTGTAGGAGGAGTAGCATTACAGACAGACGGACGGACGCATTACTATCGCGTAAGCTCTTCTGGTCTCTGACCAGTAGAGCTAAAAACTAATCCAAAAGCACGCTAACTCTTACAGGTTTCTAATACAGTTTTACGATTGCGATTGATTAGTCGATGATTAAAATGACACAAAAATCTGCAAGTAAATCGAACGGAACAATTCCATTAATGACTTAGCAACTTTCCAATAATTAATACCAGGATGATTTGAAAATTTGAAGATATACTCCAAGACTGGACAGGCGGAGGACAGAACAAGAACTGAAGACAAACGTTTCAGACGTACCACATTACGAATTTTGTGCCTCCCTGTACTAGTTTGGCTTCCATTGGATATACTAGTTCTGACACTAACTCTATAATATATGAACTGTAACTGTGCTGACAGCATTGTTTTAACTATATATGCATGACGTCTATATTGTGCAACGGTGACATAATAAATATATATATATATATATATATATATATATATATAATTGTATCCAAGTCGTTGTTTTATAACACAAAAATAACTTAATTTAGAGATTTTTGGCCAAATACTAAATATTACAACAGTTTTAAGTTTTATTTGAATTATTTTGATTAATTTTATTTCGATGACATTATCAAAGTAAAAGTTGCTTATACCCACCTTAAAACATGAATAACTAGAATACAACACAATTTAGAGATTAAAATTTCATTTTCATGATAATTTCTCAACTTTTCCTTAAACATGTAAGTTGCATTCGTCTTTGATTAACAGATCGAAGGATTCATAATGTTGCAATATTATGTTATTATTATTATTTTATTATTATATTATATTATTATTTTTTTTTTCCTTTCAGAGTATGAACAGCCTCGTTACAGCTTAAAAATTACAAAAATAACAATTTGTTTTAAAAGTCTTTTTAGCAACTATTTTATAAAATGAATAACCAACAGTTAACGCGTTCCCCTCTAAATCTCGATAAACATGCAAAAACATATCGACGCAGACACCGAAAAATCTTTACAGAAGTGGTGAACACTGAACGCTTCAAGTTGCTACATTGTACAACTGTAGGTAACAATATATAATTATAATGCAGGTTTAATAGCGGTATTTGTACATGTTAACATGTTTACATCCATGTAGATTTTTTCAGGCACACCGGAAGCGATTCATTTTTTTTCTTGGGGGGGGGGGGGGTCTTGAGAAGCAATAACAAAGCAAAACAAAACGAACTTTTCCATTTGTTATAGTATAAACTGGCCAACTTACACCGAGGGTGCACAACTGTAAATTTACAGCTTTGTTTTTCAAATTAAACTAGTTTTAATTGTAACGGGGACCGTTACAGATGTTCCCCAAACGCTCCCCAAATCCCCTTTTTTGTGCCATTTTCCTTTAAGACATTTTTAAAATATGCTCAGTATCAAAGGATTTCATCTAAGAATTATTAAAGCTAAAATGATACCGACTATAGGTCATTTAACTCATTACACGCGCAAGCACGTGCATGCACGTGCAAGATGATCATGGCATGTTGTCTAAATCATTAACATTTCTTTATGTCGTGAGAATCAATAAGAAAAATCATAAAATTATAAATGTTACCGTTTTTCAAATATATTGGTCATTTTGCGTATTGTGCACGTGCACGTGCATGCATGCGTGTCCTTGCATTCAATTCTGATAGTAGCATAATGTAGTAATTCTTCATACCTTTTTATATTCTAAATTTCATCCCGTTCTGTTGAGAACCAAGAAAGTTATACGCATTTAAAGTTTCAGCCAATCAGATTGCAGCACATGTGCATGCGCATGCTTTTATGATAATTCTTATATATCAGGCTGTAGATCTTCATAATGTATGACTATGTTTAAAATTTCAAAGGATTTTGTCAAAAAACAAGAAAGATATTGAGATTTTAGTTTCAGCCAATCAGAGCGAAGCGCACGTGCAAGCGCGTGAGATTTTGCTATTTTGACCTCGTCATGTCCATACTACTAATATATCCTCATATTATGAGTTTCAAAGCAATTCATCAAAAAATAGAAAAGTTGCGGCTATATCTATTCTATTCTATTGGTCATTTCACATGTTGCACGTGCACGCTCTTGCAAGCACGTGCGCGCAAAATGACCTTGATTCCACAAATCTACATAACATGTCTACCTACCCTAAAAAGGTTTTACCTACATCGGACGAACAGTTTACAAGATCATTCCCGGACAAAAAAGTACCCAGGAAGAAGAAGAAAAATAATAATAATAATAATAAGAAACAGATTAAAAACAATATGTTCCCCAACTTCGTTTGGGGAACATAATTATATACTGATAAATTGCATTCCTGTGACCCTCCCCCCTCCCCGTTCCTTAATTCAAGCTTGTTTTTGATTTTTGGTACATAATGCTGTTTAGTTTGCAATAAACTTAAACACTTTTTTTATGAAATCCAGCACCTTGGCTTTTCACTTTGATTAGGTTTTCTATGCTTTTTTTTATCATAAATATAGAAATGTTAATAAATAGTGACAAAAATCATGTTAAATAAAAGTAAATATATTGTTGTTGCCCTAGCCTCAAGGTAATATGCGAATTCTTCCCATATTTGTGTTTCAGACTTAAACAAAAAATGCTCCTTGAAAATGAAAATAAAGGCAAAAATCGTGGCATTCGATACTTCAAAGGCTTTTCACCTTCAGTTTGTTGTTAATCGTTAATTTTTATTTCATACTTAACAGTATATAGGCTTAAATAATTACAATTAAGACTATTCATTTCACGTATGTTGTCTGGTCTATATGCTTTTACTCACAGGTACTAAACTCGCTTGAATTTTTGACCCCCTAGTATATAATATACTAGGGGGTCAAAAATTCAAGCGAGTTTGGTGCCTGTGCTTTTACTATACGAAGAAATATTTTAATTAATGATGCAACGTTACACTGCATTAATTTTCAAAACACGGCACATATTTATGAGGTCAACTTTTGTGCTCGTTTTCTCCATAACGTCACTAAGCAAATAAGGGTGGTTTTCGCTTGACGGTCACCATATTCATAAATGTACAAAAGAAAAGAGAATCCACCTCCTTCTTAAGACCCTAGCTAAATTTAGTAAAGCTTTTCAGAGAATACTTTATTTTACCACGACTGCCCCCCCCCCCTTTATTCTGGCGAAAAGGGCACAGAATGATCCGCTCCTCAACTAGTGCATAGTACGCAGTCTTGACAATGATGTCACGGAAAATTCGTTAAACTGAGTTTTTTCCCCAAAACATACAAAATCGTCGCGAACTAGTTAACCCTCTATAAATAAAGTCGCGAATAAAAGTAAGTTTACAGTAGTTTTATAATTTATTTAAAGTTAAATAAATCTGTTTAAAAAAAAGAGAGTACACAGTCATATAATATAAGATATAGATTGTTAAAAAATCGGCTGTTTCCTCTGATTTAGTCAATGAATGACGTCACATGTCGAATCATACTGAAAAAGGGGGGGGGGCATATACGGCCCGTTGTCATCAAGCAGACTGGATATTTTAACTTGAATAAATAGGCTAGCACAAACACTCCGGACTGAATTAGTCGCCAAAAATTTCTGACCCAATCCAGATCTATTTGTTAAGTGGGTTCCCCAAAAACACGTTGGCATTCTGTACTGGTGTTTTTTTAGTTGAGGGTGGGGAATTTTTTTCCCGGATTTTTTTTTACTATAAAAACTTTCGACTCCAGTGTTCATTTCAAAGTGCTGAAGAAAATCATAGAGTAAATTTCTTCTTCTCGGTGAGGGAGCTTTCCTTTTCTTGGGGGTAGACGGACTGGGGCTTATCCTTCCCTTTGCGTTCACACTAAGCTCTCGTTCTCTCGATCATACTCTCATCCTTGGATTAATGGAGTTTATCAAATATGGATAAACCTGGTTATTTCGCGCAGCTTAGTTCATATGCTAAGATCGATAACTCCTAATCATTACGTTCATAATTCATCGGGTTCGGTGCTCAAAAATATTTGTTGAATGCGCATGTCTTCTAGAATATTCCTTTCTATTCCATAATTTGAGTGAAGCAGACGCTCAAAATTTTTAAACGATTTAATCGATCATCATCTGCAGTTTCATCTTTGAGTTGTCATAAGTATGTTACGGGCATCGAGAGTTTCGAAGTCTAGAAGTCCCTATTCACGGACAACAACGACAAATTCTGCAGCCAGGGCCAAAAAACGAAGTGTACCTGAAGCAACGCTCCCTCGACTGCATGATGTCGCCATTGTTGACCAGGCACCGATCGTGACTGACCAGGCACCGATCGTGACTCAAAGTCAGACTGTGTCCACTGTCGCCTCCTTAGTTCCCCTGCAGCCCGCTAGTTCAGCTGAAGTTAATCAAGGTACAATTCAATTTGACCCTTGAGATAATTTGCCAAATCCATTTATTAGCACCGCATCACCCCTAGCAGCGCATTTGCCTCAGAAAGTGAAAGAAAAAATTTTCAATAATCAATTCATAAATTTTGGTACACTTCTCTTTCATGATCCGACCTCGACACAACAAAATCAGCTTGTGTTTGAAGATGGTGTTTTTCAGGTAAAGCCTAAGCATAAGGAACAAAAAATTTCAAACCTATCACAATGGCTAGATGCTTTTGCAATTTTTGCATCAGTTTATTTAGTCAAACAGCCATCTGAAGCAATCTCATTGTTTAAGTATATGTCATTGATAAAGAGGGGGCTGAAAAAATCAAGGGAAATTGGTTAGAATATGATATTCAGTTTAGGCTGAAAAAATCTTACAACACCGCTGTAAGTTGGGCTTCTGTTGATGCAGAGCTGTGGATGATCTATATGCATTCGTCCACTGCTCCTACTAACCCTTTATCACGCCAGCAGTCATTGCAGCCCCGCAACAAATGCTACAGTTATAATTATCAGGGCATTTGCAACAAGTCAAATTGCAATTATGTGCATAGTTGTCTAAAATGTAATGCTTTTCATCCTTTGGTGAAATGTTTCAAGGTTAATTCAACTGCTGCGTCAGAACAATCTTCATCACAGACCAATTTCAATAATCGTGCACATTTCCATTCCAGGAACCAGCGGTTCCAGTATTCAAAGGGCCAGTCGCAGTCCAATTCTGCCACATAATTGTCAGAATTTATGGGAACTTGGTCACTCACCTATTAATTGTGAAAATTTGAATCAAATATTATCTACTTACCCAAATGTTCAAGATGCTCATTGTTTGTCCTTGGGTTTCAAATTTGGGTTTTCCTTGAATTTTGATGGTCCTAGGAGGAGGGTGGAGTTTAAAAACATGAAATCTGCAATGCAGTACAGCTTTCAAATACAGGAGAAAATTGATAAGGAAGTTAAGTTAGGAAGAATAATGGGTCCATTTTTATACCCCCCAATATCTAATTTGCGATGTAATCCAATAGGTTTAGTTCCCAAAAAACAAGGTGGTTGGCGAATGATCACAAATTTGTCATATCCAACAGGTGACAGTGTTAATGACTACATAGACCCCAATTTATGTTCTGTCAGTTATTCCACTTTTGATGATGCTGTTTCTTTAATTGCGAGTAAGGGTGAGGGTGCCTTATTAGCAAAAATGGACATTTCCTGTGCATTTCGTCTGTTACCAGTTTGTCCACAGGATTTTTGTTTATTAGGCTTTCAACACTCTGGTGCATATTACATTGACAAGTGCTTACCTATGGGTTGTTCATTGTCGTGCTCTTTATTTGAGAAGTTTTCTACATTCCTTCACTGGGAATTAGCTCAGAGGTCTAAATTGAAAAGCATTATTCACTATTTAGATGATTTTTTGTTTGTAGGAAGGGCCAATTCATCTCAGTGTTTGGATTTAATGAGACAGTCTGAAGAGTTATGTTTAGACTTAGGCATTCCTTTAGCTTTTGAGAAAACAGAGGGACCTTCTACTCGTTTGAGTTTTCTAGGTTTAGGCATAGATACTATTTCCGGAACTATATTTGTTCCAGATGATAAAGTTAGGGAGTTATTGGCAAAGATAAATGGAATACTTAATTCAAAAAAGGTTACTTTGAAAGAAATGCAGTCATTGGCCGGGGCGCTTGCATTTGTGGTTAAGGCATTGCCAGCTGGAAGGGCTTTTTGTTCAAGACTTTATGGTTCAATGGCAGGAGTCAAAAAATCTTTCCATTTTATAAGAATTACAGCAGTAATTAAGTTAGACTTGTTAATGTGGGTTCAATTTCTTACTGATTTTAATGGTAGGACACAATTTCCTAGTCTTGTATGGCAGGAAGATGATTCACTCCATTTTTATTCAGATAGTTCAAGTTCTCATGGTTGCGGTGTTGTGTTCGGTAAACATTGGTGTAGTCTGCATTGGCCTCATGGCTGGCCTGAGGAATGCTACAGGGATATCACTTTCCTAGAACTTGTACCTATTGTATTAGGGGTTATGATTTGGGCTGAAAGCTTAAGGAACAAAAAACTCCTACTTCATATTGACAATTTATCTTTGGTGTACATCATTAATAACAAATCATCAAAAAACAAAAGAATTATGATATTAGTCCGGATGTTAGTTCTGCAGACCCTCAAGTTTAATGTACAAATAAAAGCTCAACATATACCAGGTGTTAAAAATGAAATTGCAGATGCTATTTCTCGGTTTCAGTGGACCAGGTTTCGTCAATTGGCTCCTTGGGCAGACCCCTTTCCCTCCATGGTACCTATTCAGTTTTGGAGAGCTATTCAGGAACTGTAGCCAGTCTTCTGCAGGCCAGTGTATCTCAAAATACAGCGAATGTATACCGTCAGGGATTGCAAAGTTTTTTCAATTTTAGACAACATTTGTCATTCCAGCAGATATGGCCCCCACCCGTTGATCACATGATTAATTTTATAGCATATCTGTCAGAGAGTAATATGGCTTTTTCTACTGTCAAATGCTATTTATCAGGAATCAGTTTCGTCATTAACTTGCATGGTTGGCAGAATCCAGTGGATTCATTTATTATTAAGAAGTTGTTAGCTGGTTACAAGAGATGTAATCCGTCTCAGGATATAAGAAAACCAATTACATTACCTTTGTTGAATAGCATTGTCAGTGTTTTGCCACATTTGTGTTTTTCTGATTTTGAAGCAGCTTTATTTCAGTCTGCTTTTGCATTGGCTTTCTTTGCATTACTAAGGGTGAGTGAAGTGGTGGCTTTGGGTGTCCAGCATATAACTGTATCTAGTGATACCATTGAAATCTTTATCAAAACATCTAAGACTGATCAAATTGGTGCGGGGGCATTTGTGCATGTGAAAAAATCAAATGATACAAATTTATTGTTTCAATCTTTGCAGAAGTTTGCTGCATTAAGTACCAATGTAAAAAGGGTGTCCTACTTTTCTCATTTAAATTCCAAACCCTTAACCGAATACCAGTTTTCGTCCATGTTAAACAAAGCTTTGCAGTTTCTGAATATACAGTCAACTCAATTTAAGACGCACTCATTTCGCATTGGGGGTGCAACCCACTTGTATACAAAAGGGTTTTCAGAGGATCATATTAAGCAGATGGGAAGGTGGCAGTCAGCAGCTTACAAATCGTACATAAGACCATGTTCGTTGTAAATTTACATTGAGTTACACTGTATATGTATTGTCATATGACACAAAGTTACAATTCCAAAAAAAAAAAATAATAATAATAATAAGTGTTTAATTTGCTCATCAATTTTAAATGTTATATTTAGATTCGATTTGGATCATAGGCTCGTCAATTATTCATTGGGCTCACATATATGCGAAGAATTCAAATCAAGAGAATCTTGGGCAGGAGTCTTCCAACATCTTGTGGCATGGAATTCGGGGTATGGTCTGGGAGCAATTATATCCCACAATTGAATTTTTGTTAGCTCGTAACAAGAAGCCAAAGATTATTATTATACATTGTGGGGGCAATAATATTGGTCAGGCTCACAATACATTAAGGGGTCTTCAAAAATATTACAAGTCAACTTTGGCAAATATTGCTAATTTACTTCCACAAACTTTTATAATTTGGTCACATATTTTGCCTCGAAATAATTGGATTAATTGTCTTGCAAATACAGAAGGACAAAACTGTAGACGTAGAATTAATAGTGACTGTGCTACATTTGTGCTAAATAAGTTTCAGGTTCGGGGTGCATCAGTCAGTTATCCAGATATTAGAGCTCAATGCAAGGAATTATTTAGAAAAGATGGAGTTCATTTGTCAGATTTGGGAAACAGTATTTTTATCAATACTTTGAGGAATGCTTTGGATCATTTCATTGGTTGTAATTTTGTTTCGTCAACATTTCCTTGATGTTTGTCATGAGCCAATTGTATTTTGGTGCAATTTGTACCTTATTTTGTGTGCACAATTTGTGCTTTAAATGACTTGAGCCGATTTGGCATAATTTTGGTGCAATTTGTACCTTATTTTTTGTGCACAATTTGTGCCTTATGTGACTTAGCCGATTTGGCATAATTTCGGTGCAATTGGTACCTAATTTAGTGTGCACAATTTGTGCTTTTATTGTTACTTTGGGCTGCAAAATTGCCGCCCCAATGTTAGTTTGTGGCGGATGGGTCATGTGACTTGGTCCCTTGACCCATTTGGCATAATTTTGCAAAGAATGCTGTCTCCGGGGGGTACTGTTTTTTCCAGGCTCCTTGGATCAAGATGGTATTTCTCTTGCTTATGATTATCCATATTCATTTACCTATGCTGCCATATAATCATCATCGGCGCATACATTGTATTATATCTAATATTTTATTAAATGGCCATGACAAGCACGCCAAAACAATTATTGACTTGTTTTATTGACTATTTTTAGACATCCTTAACCTTTTACAGGGTTTATCTGATCATGTTTGTTTCTGTTGTCGTCCAAGTCCAATGTCGCGAAATAATGGAGTTTATCAAATATGGATAAACCTGGTTATTTCGCGCAGCTTAGTTTTTTACATATGCTAAGATCGATAACTCCTAATCATTACGTTCATAATTCATCGGGTTCGGTGCTCAAAAATATTTGTTGAATGCGCATGTCTTCTAGAATATTCCTTTCTATTCCATAATTTGAGTGAAGCAGACGCTCAAAATTTTTAAACCCACACTACCTCCCCCTAAGTCTATTTTCTATTCCTCATTAGCATCTATGTCATGTTTTATTGCAATGTAATTTTTCTTTTTGGTGGTTTTCTCGTTTTCGTTTAATTTCTCGTTTCAGCGTCATGGCATGGATCAAATGCTGAATAGGATCCACCTTATTGATGTGCTTGGCAGACCTTTCAAAGTTCAAGTTGTTTGTGGTGTTTTTAACTTTGTTAAGCATAATTTTGCAAAGAATGCTGTCTCCGGGGGGTACTGTTTTTTCCAGGCTCCTTGGATCAAGATGGTATTTCTCTTGCTTATGATTATCCATATTCATTTACCTATGCTGCCATATAATCATCATCGGCGCATACATTGTATTATATCTAATATTTTATTAAATGGCCATGACAAGCACGCCAAAACAATTATTGACTTGTTTTATTGACTATTTTTAGACATCCTTAACCTTTTACAGGGTTTATCTGATCATGTTTGTTTCTGTTGTCGTCCAAGTCCAATGTCGCGAAATAACGGTCTTAATGAACTGGTATATCTCCTGAATATATCTTTCTAAGCCTTCTGCTTTCCTCCTCACTCCATCCGCTCGCCTCATGACCTCCATTCGCCTCTCCGCTGCTCATCTAGCATTACATGAGGAGTGATTTTCCTTCCGCGGGAATATCAGGTTACAGGCGGTGCACACGTATGCATAGTTCGAATGTTGTTCAATTAAATGGCGCCTAGCCAGGTATCTGCGATCAAAGAATGGGGAAACTGGGCATATCCAACACTCACCCCCTAACAAGCGTAAGCGGTGACATGATTACTGCGGTGTCGGTGAGCATTAAAAAATGATCACAAACATTTGACCAAACTTTCGACGAAGGCACGGAAAACGTGTCCACATTTACACTGAGTTCACTGCAAATCTTTATTTACATTACTAGAAGGCACTGTAACGTCATAAAATTTCGATTTTGATAAAAATTTAACATACATGTGCTTTAAACTTAATTTCTGTCAAGAAAATTTGAAATATCATTCTTCTTAATCTTTGAGCATCAAATGATTACCGCGAATTCAACTTAAATACACATCCAATTACTGCCATCCCTAGAAATAAATTGAATTGTATGGTTTGACAATATTCTCTGCTCTAGTTTTGTTTTCGTTTTTGTTTTGTTTTCATCAGGAAATGGACTTTTTGTGTGAAGAGTGTGGGAAGGAGTTCAAATCGGACAAAAGGCCCAGGGGCCACAGCGCTCACCTGAGAACATCGGCTAGGAAAAAGCACATATCAGATAAGAACTGAAACATAACTGGGGTGGGGGGGGGAGGGACTTGAATTTTAACTCCCCAGGGGGTCATGATTTGAACAAACTAGAATCTTCACTACCAGAGGATGATTCCATATAAATATCAATAATCATGGCTTCGAAGTACTTGAAAAGAAGATTTTTGAAAGGTTTCCCTATATTTTCTTATATAAAACTTTGGTCGGCCATTTTGGTCCCACCCTAGCCCTGGGGGTTATGATTTGAACAAATATGAATCTACACTACCAGAGGATGATTCCACATGAGTTTCATCTTTCCTGGCCCAGTGGTTCTTGAGAAGATTTTTAAAGATTTTAACAATATATTCTTATGTAAAACTTTTAACGGTCATTATGGCCCCACCCTAGCCCACGGGGTTATTATTTGAACAAAATTGAATCTACACTACCTGATAATGATTTCACATGAATTTCATCTTTCCTGTCTCAATGGTTCTTGAGATTTTTCCTATGTATTCTATGTGTGCCAACACTGTGGATATCAATTCACCACTAGGTTTGCATTGAAAGATCACACTGATCGCCACAATGGTGCAGGAAAGTATAGATATGAAGAGTGTAACATGTGTTTTGTGAACAAAACGCATTATACTGGCCATGTCGCGTCCCACTCTGAGGACAAAAACATGGATGCAGCAGGTATGGGAAAAGGTTCTGCTACAAATCAAGTCTTATTCGTCATTTGAAAAGCTGTAAAATCACTAGAAATTTAGAATTTTCTTGTGATAGATGTTTGAAGGCATTCGCAACTAAAAAGGGATTGAAGCAACACATTATTGTACACCAGCCAAAGATTTTTCAGTTTTTTAGAATGTGGAAAATGATACCGGTACAAGAAGGACTATTTGCCACATGTATCCAAATGTGAATAACTATTAAAACATTTTAATTTTCAGACTGAATATTTTTAAATGACAGAATATACGCTGTCCAAGTTACTTCCCATTACTTTAAATTGTAACTTTGAAAAAACTACGGTTATCTGAATTTATATATTTCTTTAAAAGAATCTGACAAGAAGTCTATAATTATGTTGTTATTTTTTCTCTTGTATTTACTTTTGTAGTTTTGTTTCATTGTTGAAAATTACCGTTTTCTGTCAGTATCATTTCATTGAAGCTAGAAATAAAATGGTTTTAAAAATAGAACGTTGCATATATTTAATCAAAATTTATTGAACAATAGCACTGTATAATAACTACATGTATTAGAGAGAAATGTTTATATTAAATCCGTTACATCAATCCCAAGGCGTCAACTTGGCAGCATTTTCGACTCTTCGATCTTGTAATGGGCATCTACCCTAATAGTATCCATTCACGTCATTAAGCGTCGGGTGGCGCTGCGGTTGTAGAGGTGGTTACGAAAACGTTTGAATTTGTCAAGCGCCTGACTGCATGTAAACAAATGGTAGCGTGGCGAGACACTGTGATTTCTCCGGGACATATACCTCTAAATTAATTAATTTGTAAAAAATGCCAACTCTCTGTGGTGTGCCAGGATGTTGTAGATGATGCGGACACTCATTATTTTCAGACATTTGTTTGAGACGAAAAGTGACGCTAAATCGGTCATGAAGATGATCAGCTGACTAAGGAAGCTTTGTAAACACCGTATTACACGATGTCGCTTGTCACCAGTTCGGAGTCGGCGATATTAAGGATTAGATTTTTGGTAAAATATTGATTTTGATTAATTTTAATTAGTATCTTACGAAGTATATGTCATTAAATCATATAGATTTAACCATAGAAATGAGTTACTATATATAGGGCCAAAATAAAATTATAGTTTGTTTGGAATTGCCTCCCGCCTCAGTGAAATGCCCCCTCCTGAAAAAATTTTATTGAACAAAAGTAGGAAGATTTTTTTTTTCATTTGATTAATTTTTTTCCCATTACATATATTACATGCACCATACAAAACACTGAAATATAGTGTCAGATCTATGTAAAATTAGGTTTTTCTGTTGATGGTAAATACTTTTTTTTTTAAAGTCAGAAAATGTATTTACTGTTTACTGAGATTTTTATCAAAAATTTGAAATTTATCTTCAATTTATATATATATATATATATATATATATATATATATATATATATATATATATATATATATATATTTCCCTCCCTCCCTCCTGTGTCTGAAACCCTTCAGGCGGCAATTCCAAGCAAACATTTTTTTAAGGATGGCCTAGTATAAAACATATTGACTAGGTCAGTAGGTGACTTTTTAAATTTGTCTTAAAGCTGCGCACTACTCGTACATGTAAATAGGCATTGTCCGCCATATTTCCCGTTCTTCAACGGCCTCCCTACAACCCGTATATAAGGAGCAAATCGCTAATCAGTTCAGTGGATCCAACGAGTGTAGACGTACATCTTACTAAGCGTGCTACTCAATCTCTATGAAATTATCACATTTTACGTATTTTTTCCAAAACAGGACAATAGTATCATGAAAAATACAGGTCAATACATTATTTACAAACAGAAAATGCACATAAAAACAAGAAATAAACGCAAAAAATCTAAGACCACGAAAGGAGTACTACATGTCGGCCACGAGTTTCGAATGTGCAATCGGGTGTAACAAAAGCGAAAGGTTTATATACCCGTCTGACAGTGCCTATTTATGAGAAGTGTTCAGCTTTAAATTGAAAAAAAGTGAACTCCCTTTTTATTTATTTTTCGTCAAAAGACATTTGAACTATTTATATTAATCCGACTTAACTCAATATGAGTTAAGTCCCGTTATGGAGACAAATAGAGATAAAAAGTTCAGGTAAGATAACTCTCACTCAAATGCACTGACTTCATTTAGCCACATCCATTACGCATGTGCATTTGCTCTTCCTTTCCATCTTCCGTCATCCATTGAAGCT